GAGAAAATTTAAAAAATACAGAAAAAGTTAACGAAAAACAGTAAATAAACAAAAGAAAAGAACTTCACGACAATTTGCCAAATCATTGTGAAAAGGAAAATACGAATCGCGCAGGAGGAAAACTAATTTGATTTCAACTTAAACCTCAGAACACAGCAGCACTGCCTCAATGCCCACTGGTGACATTTACAGAAATGGCAATTCTAGAACTCCATATGTGTGCATCTGGTTTGAGGTGTTAGGAAAGCCTACCTTCAGTCAACTAATTCATCCAAAAGTGTCTTGAGAAGTTTAAAGACAACCAAACAGATATCACATAGTTATATATTCCCCATCGTTAATATTTTAATAGCATTATAATGCTGTGGGCACTAAATATACAAATCAGTAACCTTTGACTGTATACATTCGAGCACACTATGTTAATGTCAGGGAGACAATGGTTTTATGCAACACAGCAACTGTCCACTGGTGCAGTCAGTATGTCAAATTAGAATTTAGGGCCACCCCATAAAAAGTGACATAAGTAATGTGGACTAAAAAAATTCTAAGCAGTGAAAGAGTTAATTCATTAATCAGGGGTGGGTTTTTTTGGGAGACGAATCCTACCTCTTACTTCTTACACACACACACAAAATAAATAAATAAAAAAAATTTAAACACTTTCGTTGCCTTAAAATGCACCTGGTACGACATGAAAATGTTAAATTTTTGGCTGTGTATGCCATACAAGTTAGCAAAATATGCAGCTCCTGGTTACTTCTATTATCATGTACGGCACACTAATAACCTGGATCTAATTCTCCAGTACAGACTTTTGTCACAAGCCACATGCACTGCGTGGAATCGTGTTGGGGAATAAAAGGCGCACAGATAGAGGTACCAAATCTGCTGGTATTACTTTTCTGCTAGGCTTGCAAGTGATTGATAAACACAGATCTAAGCTCACAGGCAGCTATGTGCCCTCACAAAATTTAAATACCAAAATGACTAAAAAAAAGAAAAGAAATAATAAAAAAATATCTCACTTTGGCTATAATGGTATAATAGGTTTAAAGCTCATACCAACACTATTAGGTTATTTAAGAGGCGGGACCTCCGAGTTTAACGTCCATCTCCGAAAGGACCCAGTCAAATGGGAAATTTGTGTAAAGTGCCTTTCCCAAGGACACAATGTGATGTCAGACAGAGTTGATGCTCAAACCCCGGAACCCACAACCTCACGATTACAAGTCCGGTAGCCTTAGGCCATCAATCCCACCCACTCACTTTTTGGCTTAGATTTACAAGTTATGAGCAAATATGAGTAAGATGCTGGAAATAAGGAATGAGAGGAGCAAGAAAATAAACCTAATCGAAGACCGTGGTCCGAAATATGCCATCAGTGGGCCAGATCTAGACAGCGAGTCCAATAACAGTAAGTGACACGAGACTGCTGTCCTGGGTAACGAGCTCAGATTAAAATCAGTGCTAACCGTAGGAACGCATACCCCCCTGGCTACGAAAGGGTTAAGTTTTTTTGTAGCAGGTTACCATCTCCGAGCTACATGGAATGGCCCTGTAATCAAAATACACTCACCAGACACCAGAGAAATAACCCCATTTAAGAAGACAGAAAATTATTTCATAGCCCCAGAAAAATGTGAAGTGAAATGGAACTAAAGTGGCAAAATTACTGAAGCTATTTCATTTTTTTTTTCTTTCTGCCATCTTTTGCCACCTAGGGCTCACAGAGTCATAACTCCACATTTCTCAAAAGTCAAGAACTACATGTAAATCAGTGATCAAGGATGCCGCTGGGATTTCTAAAAATAAGTTGCATTTGCAATTTTAACAAAAGTTAATATAAAAAACTAACATACGGTTAAACTGAAAATAATGCGTAAAATATACCTCTATGTCCTATGCCCCCCCCCCAATAATGGTGAAAAACAACATTCTCCTAACAATGTAGATCACCGTTTAGGTTTCTCCCTTTCATGATCCCGTGTCTAGAATAATACAAAGGAATTCCAAAAGCTCACCATTCTCAGAATTAAAACTCATAACATCATAATAATTGATATTGTCAGTTGTGTTTAGCAACATTTAACACTACGCTTGCTAGCATATCATGCTGACCTCAATGACAACAACTTGGACTCATCCAAAAATTATAACAAAAAATCTGCCTGCTACTGCTAATTAAATTTGAACTCTTCACAACAGAGCAATGCTGCGAGTAGAGACATTTACATGAGCTACCCATACTAAAATGTGAAAGCTATGCTACAGATTGGGATGTAGAGATCCACTATACCTGCGAATTCACTGTTTGACTATTATATGAATCTTTGACAAAAACAGCCACCCGAAGCAGAAAATTAGCTAGCCATATGTACAAGGCTAGTGCACGAGACCACTTGATAAAATGCTGTCCAAGAAAAGTGGAAAAAGCGGGAGGTAGTGATTCCAAAAGAAAAGCTGCACCCTCAAAATACGTTTACAACTAATAAAACGGGCTATTTTAAAGTCATTCTAAGTATGAATACCTCAAATAAATAATCGTTTCTGGTGTTTGAAGAGCTGGGTACTTTTTTATTTTATTTCGGACGTATTTCTTCAATCACACGAATTTTTTTAAAAGAACAGATGAGACAAATCATTTACCATAAACATGCACCAGACAGATTTTCTTCGATTCAAATAATATATCATGCAACGTAATTTGAAATTTGAGGCTGAGACAGGAAACAGGAAGAAGAAAAGGGGGTGGGCCAGATGGGAAGGGTTAGTGTTAGTGTGTGTGTTGTTGGCACTTGGAAAGTCACTCACTTTTTATTCTAATTCTAACTGATGAGGCCTTCAGGCCAAAGGAAAAAATATTCAGGCCTCCCTTTCATTAAAACACTCTTTACAAAATCCAAAGTCTCTCTGCCTGCTGCCTTTAAAAATGTCAAGATGACCGCACCCCCTTGTTTGTAATTACTAGTTTGAAATACACGGAGGCCCAGATTAGCCAGATAGATGCAATACAATTAACGGACAATTAAATATAATTATTTACGTCCCAGAGATCAAAAGACAGATGAGTCCAAAAATTATCTTAAAAACAGTTGTGCCACATGCATATATATTTTACCTTTTACACATCTCATGTTCGATCATACTACATACCACCTTCCTTTTTCACGTTTATCCCTTTCACTGACATAAATTTTCTTTTTTATATATCTTCATTTAGAATAGTTTTGGAAGTATTTGGTGGTAATAGGGCCTTGGCCTATTTTCAAAACTTAATACAGCGCATGTATAACGGGGGGTTTCCATGCCCCCCGAGCACTGGTCTACAAAAGCTAAAAGCTGTTCATCACAGATTCGATGAGCACACTAGAAAAAATCAGGAGTGGGTGGCTCTGCATTGACTGGAGAGCTTCCATTGCAAATAGCCACCTCCTAAGGATTATATGGGTGTTCTGCCCTGGTCACGCCGGGGTGCACGGAAATGAGTGAGCTGATGACCTTGCCGGCAAAGCAGCACCCAATGGCCGAATCATGCTCGACCCACCAATGGTGATCGCCAGATGCAAGGAGAGCCTTCAAGACAAAGAGGAGACAGACTCCCACACACTCAGCACAATAAAAGAAGTGTGTGCGGGGCACAAGGAAAAAAGTTTTCTCCAAGGAGTGGTCAGGCGTGTCTCAAACCAGCTCCTCATGGAGACAACTTGCAGGAAGACCCTGAGGTGGACGCTGGAAACGAGAGATGAGCAGCTATGGACATGTGCCGCCTGCTATGACTCTAGCTCTGGATCCAAGTAAATCCAAGCAAGCTGTACGCAAGGGGTGAAAGGACTTCCGTCGTAATGAGCGACCACCCCAACAAACACAATGAAGAAGAGACCTAACCCCATACGTCAAACCAAAACATACTCCTACCCCCACCCCAATGTTCTACTCTGTCTCATAGTGGTCGCTCATTGCGGAAGTCCTCCCCAGGGGTTTCCACAGGCACCCCCCACCTCCTCGTATTCCACCCTTATTTAGTAGTTGGAAGGACTTCCGTAACCAGCGACTACCCCAACAAACATGAATAAAGAAGAGACCTAACCCTACCCCAAACCATACTCCTCTGTTCTACTCTGTCTCATAGTGGTCGCTCGTTACGGAAGTCCTCCCTAAAAGATCTAATAATAGGGTACTTGTCCTAGTTTAGCAATTTAGTTTGAGATTTCCTTGAAAACAGTTGATTTGCAAGGGTCTTAGACTTAGAGGCCATCATGTATGTTTAGCCCCCAAAACCAGTGCATCTGTGTGTGTGTGTGATAGTTGATAGGCTTAATTTAATTGATTTGATAGAAAAATTTCACTCTTCCACACATTGTCCTGTATAAGTAGATCTAGAATCTAGATCTAGAATCTAGATATCTAGATATAGTGATATAGGCCTACCTCTAGCTAGTAACTGTTCACCAAATTGGGAAATGAATAGGCCTAAACATTCTTCAGGACTATTATAGCCCTAGATGTGAATTGGGTATAAGGAAGTAGACAATGATGAATCTGACTAGAAAGAGCCCACAAGCCAGCTTTGCTTTCATTGATACAATACAACAGGTTGAGCAATATTAATTGACTCGTTGACTCAAAAGAGCCTAAGGCCTAAGGACACTGGGAATTGGTACCTCATCAGGCCACAAACATGCACTAATTCAATGAAAAATAAGCAACTTAGGAGCTTAAGAGAAGGACCTTAAGACCACATACTATAGCAACATTCAATTTTCAAGTTATAAAGGTTGGGTTAGGCAGGCAGGGAGTCAATAGGTAACCGCGCATGACGAAACCCTAACCCTAGCAGTAGCCTGTAGCAGGCTTAGATTTCGACTTCCAGCAGCCAGCCGCTATCGCAGAACATGATGGGAAGGGGCGGGGGTCACAAATAGCGGTGAAGGAAATGGATCATATACAGCAAACACAAAGTAGAAACATTGAACAATAACGAAAATATAAAAGGATACTTTACTTGTCTCGGTTGAGATTGCACAGATATCTGAACCGGGGGTGATATTGATGAGTTTCCTCTTGATGTCATTTCATAGATTTCTCTCGCATTGAGTCCTCTACTGGGACGGGTTTACAGGCTCGTTTTCGAAGACATTCTCCTACATAGAACAAAAATATACAAGTATTATACAGCTTGAATAAACAATCTACAAGTTCATTTCCAAAAAAATCAATATTATGACAAAGCAAATGATAGATGGACAAAGATTTTTATTCAAAATTTTCAATATGGCCATTGTACAGTACCTGATGGAGATACTTCGGTAATATTCGGTAACGGGATTCACTTCCGGGTCAGTAATGCCGTTCGGTAGTCGTAAAATCTAAAGAGCATGAATCCTTATAGTGGTTTGTTCTTAAAAAAGTAATAGAATATCTTATTGGAAACTTCTACTGTGCTAAAATAATTAATTGCATCCATCTTATAATCATTTCACCGAAAATATGCATTGTTAAAGAACACAGGTATTGATAGTATAATGAAATAAACCTAAAGAACGTTCAAAGCGTAACAAGAATAAGGTGTACAGTTTTCACAACTAGTGAACGAACTTCCATGTCAAAGGCTAAAGGTCAACAATATGGCGTTGTGACCAAAACAAAGACGACGCCTATTTTTGGAGTAAGTCACAAGACAATTAAATAGGCTTTGCTACTCATTCGCTATTCCATACGTTGCATCCTACTGACCTACATACCTCGCATGGTCACGAGTTTTTGGGTAAGTTCTACGTTTCTATTCTTTTTTTTTTTATAATTTAGATCTATTATTGGAAATTAATGGGTGATCTCTCTCACTGATGAATAAATTTGCTGGAGATCCAGGCCCATCCCAGGTGTCGATCGGGATCATGTCGCAGTGAAGTAGATCTAGTAATGATCTTTAGTACTTTAGTGACTTAGCCAGATTCTAGAGTAGAGTCTAGATCTAATCTAGATCTAGATCTAGTAGGCCCTATAGTCCTATAGTCTTCTTATAAATTATAAAGCGATGCTGGTAGCTTATTTATCGCCCAGTAATAATAGTGAAAAAGTATTTTTCTGGGCCATAGAATACAATCATAGAATAGTCTCTAGATCTAGATCTAGATCTAGAATCTTTAGTCTTTAATCTAGATCTAGATTCTAGGTCTAGGAATGTATCTAGATCTAGATCTAGATTCTAGAATGACTAGAGTGAAAGTGGCTATTCTCACCCGCCCTGAAGTTCTCGCAAGATCTACTCCTCCCCTCTTCTCTCTCTCTCTGTCTCTTTCTGAATACTGTCTATCGGTGTGGACGATCAAATTGACCAAAACAAAGTTAAAAAATGATGTTAAAACACAAAAGTAAATTAATTTGGTTGTCTACAAAGATGCTACGGCTATTTAACTTTTCGAATCGAGCCGAACTACGCGGGTCGCCATTTTGTTTTGTTCTCTCTCTCACTCTCTCTCTCCACTGCCCGCAGACTAAATTGTACGCTTTTAGTAGGCTACAAGTACAGTTGTAATGGAACGTTTGTTCACAGCACAGAATTCTACAATTTTTCTGTTATCACAGTGTAGAATTCTGTGGTTTAGGGTGAACGCAAAATTTGTTGGCCTAGATCTAGGCTATAACGGTGAACGCGCACCGGGTGAGAATAGCCAAAAGACTCGCCTGCACTATTCTCATCCCGGGTGAGAATAGAGGTGGCCATCTAGAATATCTAGATCTAGATCTAGCTAGGACTAGGCTAGGAAGAACCACTTGCCTACCGTTCGGTAGGCCTACTTTACTATAACTTCTAGATCTAGGCTAGTCATCTACTAGATCTAGATCTAGCTAAAACTAAAAAAGTTAAAGTAAAGATCAATTAGGCTTGAGATTAGGCCTAAACATCAAGAAAGCAACGAGCTTCGTGGAATTATTTTACTTTCACTTTCACTCCCCCCCCCCCCCCCCCCCCCCCAATCTCTAGATCTAATTAAGTAGATCATCTAAAAATTTAGATCTAGATGCACTGCTTTACTTTTGGGGCTCAAACTGCCGTGCTTTTTGGGGTGCAGTTGCTGGCTATAGATCTAGATCTAGATCTAGATCTAGACCTACTATGGCCACTACTAACACTGTCATCAATTATTTTCAAGAAAATTTCGAACATAAATTAGCAAAACACCAACTTATAAGGAAAACCAGGGCTGACTAAAAAAAAGGCCGGCTCTATTTCTCCGAACGTTCGGGAAAATAAACTTGAACTCTATTTCTCCAAACGGTCTCCGTTTTGTTGATAATAAGCGATGGAAGTGGCCCGTGTGTGTCGGCGTGTTTGTAAGGTGTGAACGAGGGGGAAGGGTGGAGGGATTTATTTTTTTTACAAGAAGGATTTTAGTTTTTGGTGGGTGACTTAATGAAAAATAGGTTACTGCCAGGGTCGATCAGTCTTGTTTTCTGGCAGTGCCTTTTGAAGGTATTTTCAAATGAAGTATAGTCCGGGAACGTTGCCCCAACCACAACTGAGGTATCTGAATATTCAGACATTTAAAAATCTCTAGCTCTAGAAATTGAATTCGATGCAAAAAATACTTCTTCCCAGTCCTCGCAGATTGAAAAGATGACGCCTAGATCTAAATCTCGCAAATTTATCACGAAAAAATCTCGAGATCGAAAACCGTTCGGAGAAATAAAGTTGAACTTTATTTTCCAGAACGTTCGGAGAAATAGTCACTTCGGAAAAAAAACAACCCAGATTTATTCTTTTAAAAATGAGGCTTTTCACCATGCATGGCATCTAATACCTCCCTCCTATTCATTATTTGTCATGTGGCCCGGCTGCTCCTTTAGGTTCAGAACACAAAAGTATTAGGGGTCTATTAATTTAATATTTTGTAAGCCGTATGATTCATGAATCTCGTATTCTGGCTTTGTAATCAGGAAGAATTCCATAACGAGCGACCACTATTCACTATAATGAAATAGATGAAGGGCTTCGGTTAGAGCCAGGGTTAGGGTTAGGTCCATTCTTTAGTGTGTTTTTTGGGGTGGTCTCTCATTTTGGGAGTCCTTCCCCATACAAGATCATTCAGGGGATCAAAATACAACGCTATATTAGTTATTATAGAGAAGATAGACTTTTCCTACCCTCTTTTACCCTTTTTTTCTCTCTTAAAAATGGGATAGATACTTGTAGACAAGATGAGTCACGGAAAACTTATTTCTTTTTTCTTCAGGAAAATAGCATGATCAGCTGTTGATGTGTTGAGCTTTCTCCATTGGCCCTTCATTCTTTCGATCCACACAGACTTTTCAACACCAGATACTGGTAAACAGGACCACTGCAGCCAGCTTGGTAATTGGTAACATTTTAATGATTTTTTTTGTGTGTGTGCGTGTGTGTGTCTTCTAGTGCTACAAGATGGTAGGGTTAATCAATTGTAGATCTTCTGCCTTCATTGCAACCCTTGTTTGGTGTCTTTTGCCTGTTTTCCAACTAGCGCTCAGCGTATTGTTATTTTGAACTAGTAGTTTTAGACGAAGATATTTTTCCAGTTGAAAGCGGAAAGTTTTCTCTTCTGCTAGACAAATCGACTCAAGAAATTTTTTTTTCAAGTATACAGTCAACCTTGCTCTAACGGCCACCTGATCAAGACCATCACCTGTAGGCTACAGGCAACCACTTTCGACTCTTCCCTAACGCTTTTTGATAATATTATATATATATATATGACAATGTCAACATCCACACGTATCTAAGACAACCATATTCGTCCACGACAATTGATGGCCCTCTTGGACAATTTTGACTGTTGTTTGAAATAATGAACGTGTATTCACTATCAGAAGAGACAGGGGAACACTGAGTGTATCCGGTGAATGAAGGAAAGTCAGTTGCGGGATAGCACTGAGAGCTCCGATACATGTCGAAGGAAGAAGAAAATAAAGGAAACAGGACGTAAATATGTGGTGCTGTGCATATTACGGTGGATTTTTAAAAAGTTCTAACAGATATTTGTTGATAATAATTCATCAACATGTCTTGACATTTTCTGAAGCTGCTGTTGTTTTATTGGAGACTATTTTGTTACTGTCTTGTTACAAGATGTGATTTAGCTATTGTTTTTTTTGGGGGGGGGGGATTGGTTAGTGTTTTACAGCGCTCGCAACTGCATAAAGTCATAAATGAGCACGGGGGACACATTAAATGTTTTCAGTTGGCAGGAAATTTTGAATTTTGCTAGAATGGCCTAAGTTACTACTCTTATTGATTTTGGACCACCAAGGGATCTTTAACGTGCGCAACTTGCATAGGGGACCTCCGAGATTTTTCACCCTTGTCCAAGAAGGCTAGGTGTAAATCTTTCCTACAAGAAAATTTGGGGTGTAGCTGAAAGACAGCAGTAAGAAGGAGCCAAGGAGTAGCTATAGAAAGGCTTCAGAAAGAGTCAGGTGTCCAGAGGAGGAGGCAAAGGAGTTGAGGGGGTAGGAGCAGAAAGTGTAGACAAAAGCAGACGACATAACATTTTGAGAGTAGGAAAGGAGTTGGAAGGAAACTATTTTAAAAAAGAAAATTTTTCCGTCGCTACCTGGATTCGAACCCGGGACCTTTTGATTGAGAGGCGCACACCTTAACCTCTAGGCCATGAGACCCCCCCCCCAGCTCTTGTATATATATATATATATATATATATATATATATATATAAGTTTAGTGTTGACCCATATTCAATGAGTAACATTTTATTTGTATTGCATAGTTATCATTAATGAAGTATTTTTTAAAAGTTTTTTGATGAATGCTTTGCTTCAACTAACGAATATTGTTAGCACTTGTGTAATACCAACACTTAATATGGTCCCACTGATTACAACAGGCTTACCTAGCCTGCCCCTCAAGCTTATTAGTCTCACCTTATGTAATAATAATACTGACCGGATGATAACATCTGCTTAAGGAGCAAGATAACCTAGGGAAATGGCCATTTGATGTTGACCACTGCTTGATATTTTGCCATATTGTGTAGCATCTTCTTTCGACTGGGCTGGGGTTGGTATTTTCCAACATTGTGATGTAAAGATTGGATGTTGTTCATATGTGAATTATTATGCCTGTTGTTATTGAGTGCAAAGTTTCCTGTCAATGACAAATAAACTAGTGTTACTTGTTAAACATCATGTGACGAGCGTTCACTGACTGTAGCTGTCAAGACTTAATCTGCCATTATCATTATCCGGCAGCCCTAAAGTAAGCCTGTTGGTCTTGGTAAATCAAGGGTCCACCAAATTTATTCTTTCAACTTTTAAAAATCATGCCACTTTTTAAACTTGTAGCTTATTTATACTTTGTTACTGTGTGTATGTGTTAAATCAGAATTATTTATAAAATCCATCTGCATTCTTTTTTATCCCTGTTCAAATTATGAAAATACATTTTCCTTAAAAAGAAATAAGCTTAGGGAGTAAAAACAAAAATTGTCAGCAGTAATTGTCAACTTATGATGTGAAGTCCTGAATGAGAGACAGACGCCTTAACCTCTAGGCCACGAGAACCCCCATCCTGCAGCCTGTCAGGGCTAAAGGCTGAACGAAAATTAGTATGATTTTTAAGCTTAAGTGCAGAAGAGATAACGATCAGATGCTGCTGGATCGCTAACAACAACAATGACAGCTTAAGTGTAATATTTCTAAGTGGGCTGTATAAATTTGTTGATTTTTTTCTTCCTCCACAGCCAGCTGCGACCATGTTTGTCAGCCTCTACCCCGTGTACACAAAGCAATATTTCGATGACCCTTGCCTTCCGTTCAACGCCACTAACGTAACGAAATGCGAGGATGGGGTGCAGTGGGTCTGGAAGGTCATTGGTGACTGTGTGGTCACCCCCAGGGAACAGGCGTCTGCTTATCTTGGCCTGATCTCAATGCTCACTTGGATGATGGTGGGAATTCCGTAAGTTTTCCAATTGTAAAAAAAAGTATAAAATTGTTCCCGCATCCGGACATTGGGGATTGTCTTGTTAGTGAGACAACTTCCTGGGCCTTCGGCATATTGTGGTAAAGAGGCCAGTTCCTTTCCACGCCGCCTTTACTTCCCCAAGTCAGGTACCCATTACTCTTGGGTGGGCAGGAGGGGGCCAAAAAAATCTGTGTCCGAACCAAGGCTCGAACCCGGACTTTCTGCTTCGGAGACGAGCGCAGTAACCACTCCGCCATAGCACCCTCATTCCTAATGTCTAGTGCATATATTAACATTAATAGTGTTAAGCTAGATACGTACTCAGTTTTCTGATTGTAACTCAATGGTATTCTGATATTGCATGCTTCAAAGGTCATAGGAATACTTATATCAAGATGACTAAGATGGTAGAAGTTTAATGGGTGATGGTTAGAATGACCTTCTGTATCTTTTTTTGTTACTGATAAGATTGTCCTTTTCTCCCCTTCTTTTTTTAAAATGTTTGTTACTCTCTTGTAACACCTCTAATCTTCTGGCACTCATATGACCTTATGCAGTTGTGAACGCAGTAAAACTTCTACTAAAACTTTATCAAAACTGATAAGAGGCCTAGGTCTTTTACTTCTATATATATTTTTAAAATGTACACACACATATATATATATATAAATATATATTTATGTTTCTGTCATGTTGGTTTTTAGTAACCACCTGTTCGTTATGATCATTTTAAGATGTAAAAACGGAAGTTATAAATTATAACATGCCGGAATAGCATCATACAGATGTGAAATTCATCGTAGATATTTGAGTTTATATCATGATTAGATGTCACACTTAGGTTTTTTTTCTGGTATCAGAATTTGGCTGTTTTGATATCTGAGACTTCTTGCCCCGGTCGCTCATGAAGTTGTGTGTCGTTCACTTTCAGACAAATCATCAAAAACGCTCGCAACTTGGAGGGCCTCGCTGGAGTTTCCTTCTTCCTGCTGTTCCAGTGGACAGGCGGTGATACCACCAATCTGATTGGCTCAATTCTCACCAATCAGTTGAAGTTTCAGGTATTTATTCCTGCTGTGCCATAATGAAGAAACGAGAGTCTATTGACGCTTCGAAGTGTGAAGTCATCATTCATGCTATTTATATATTGTGTGCTAATGTTATTCATACTTATATGAAATTCTATCAGCAACAGTATTTACACCTGCCAAGAACTCCAATAAAATTGGATCCCTCCGATTTTTTTTTTGCCCGAAGATGAACCTGGATGGGATTTGCGTAATAGCCAATTTTTTCTTGAATTGTTTCCATTATGCAACTTCTCATAAAGGACAGGAAAATACACAATTTAATTGCTGTTATTTGCAATATTTGCTCGACTTATCATAAATGATTTGAAAATACACATTTATATTTATGTTTATTTGCCATGATCAGTTCTTAACGCAATCTTAATGTATTTGAGACGAGGAGACTCAGATTTTTTTCCTCCAAACTGTAACCGTTAGGGTAGATTTGAAGGAAAACTCTTTTTCATTTGGTCACAGAGCAGTTGGCAGCTCTGAGTACCATTCCCCCCTGCCAGTGACACGGAGCAGTTGGCAGCTCTGAGTTTCATTCCCCCCTGCCAGTGACTCTCAGCTCTGTGTGTGTCACTGTGTGTGTGTGTGTGTATGTGTGTCTGGCTCTTGGCACGCCGCGGCTAGTCGTTACCTCTCCACTCCCTGGCCCCTGCCATATCCCCTTCATATTCCCCCACCCAGTGGGCTAATAGATCTTGCAAGAGTGGCAGCTGATGATGATGCTTTTTTTTTTCAAACCGTTATTGTCGGCCTGAACTGAACATGTATTACATTACACGCTGTGATATGACTACGTCCTATCACCATTCAGAACGCTTTGAATTTTGGAGGGTAGATCTTGCTCATTGCGTCTGCGTACTGTTAATTTCTTGCTTAGCCAACAGCTACACATCAGTGTCCCAAAAGTCAGTGACTACCGTACTGAATATTGTATAATAATGAATACTTTTTACAGGCTTGTTTCATAACTTTAATGGGCTTCACTTATCACTCTGTGTCATAATCATAAAGTACAAAGTTTTGCTTTGTCCACTTCAATGATTTTAGAAAAGTTATTCTTTAAATGAGATGAAAATTCTTTATCTCTAAAACTCATACATTATTTGAATGACTCTGCCTTGCTTTGAATAGATGTGAAGAGTGAAAAAACTGTATGTGGAATAGTAGAGTGGAGCAAGGCGGACTGACCAACATTTGAAAGCAATTCTCTTGGTTGGATAATGCAGCAAACACAGGGCAGATATTGATGATATCTTGAGAGCTAAATGCAAGTTTCACAAATCTCCATAATTTTTTCTGCTTGGTTTCTGAGGTTCAGATACCTGTGCACAAGGAGTGATATAACTATTTGATTAGAACAATACTTAGTTTGATGACATTTTAGTTAAATATAATATATTATTATGCCAGGACTATTTATGAATGTACTTAACAAGCTCTAATACAGTTGATTGATTTAGTTCATTTTGAATGCATAAGTCAAGAAAGTTATTAAATGACTACCTGGTTTTGAGAGTCAGTCCCCCAGCGAATGTGGGTAAAAAATAAAGTTGCTTGATATGTTGAGACAATCAGCCTGTTGGTGAATGTGGGTCAAATCAAATTAGAAGTTTTTCAGATCTGTTCAGACAATCATGAACGGCAGTCAGAATTTATTTCGTATATTTGTGTCTTTTGTGTTGAGACTGGGACTAAGTTTGCCTTTCCTGTACTCCCCAGGTCTATCTAGCTGTTTACTTTGTTTTGTCCGATGTAGTTCTGCTCATGCAGTACCTAATGTTTTACGTACGCAAGCGCCGGAGACAGGAGAGAGAGCGGCGAGGTAAATGAATCTTAGTGTTGGCACTGCATGGGCATTGTTCATTCGGATGTTCACGGGCAGTATTACATACAGACGTTTACAAGTCATTTTTGGCGGCTTTTGAGATACGTCTGTGTGCAATACTGCCTGTGTGTTTTTATTGAATTGCATGTATTGGAGAAATTTTTTACAGAATCTCTTCCATGTCTTTTCTTTGTTTCATTGCAGATTGCTTTAGCTTGTTATTTTATGATCGGAGACTGTATTCAGTGTACTCAGTACGCCATCTTTTATTGTCGTAAGAGAAAGAGAATGGGGGCAGGTAGTGGATTTTTTCTAGATCTCTCCTTGATCCAGACGTTTGGCTTAAGGCTTTTTTGAAAATTATGATTTGCTTTTTTGCTGCTTTTTTTGTGACCCACCATGTCGGATGCACAAGTCTATGAAGACGAATGGTTCATTTTTGTCTTGTTGTTTTTGTTGACCAACCAAAAGGGATGTGGTTTTAAACGAGTTCTGCCGACTTCAATACTCAACCACAGACAGACTGATATAATTTCTAATTTCTCAGTTGTGAGAACAGGTTAAGCACAATGCCTTTCTGTCCCGTAGAACTGAGAACGTTTCAGATTGCTCTTGGGTCTGTCTGGGGAATGATAAATTGTACAGTGCTTCGAGGGCTTACCTTGGAGCATAGATAATATATGCACTGTTATAAATGCTGTCAACCATTGTCATTTTTTATATATCGCGGGCCAGCTGTTCAATGAACCTAGCTAAAAATTCTGGTTCAAAAAATGTTTTATTGCAGTTTCTAATCTGTGGTATTGGCTGCATACGCTCAAGAAATCTTTTGTGGAAATTCAAATTTTACAAGATGAAAAATTCAAGAAAAGATACATAATTTAGGTACTGTTAGTGTACAATTGACCAAAGACCGAAGCAGTATTTTTCTCTCTCCTGAAAAATATTGTTCTCTGGGCTTGGAATAATTGAACAGTTTGCCACCGATGTGAACGTTTTCCACCTGAATCTGCCGTCACCCTTAGATGTGAGAGCCCGTGCACCGCAGCATGCACCATACGGCAACGAGCACGTATCCACTGCCCTGCCAGTGACCTTGAACGTCTGTGAAACCTTTTACAGGATGAAGACTTATAAAAAACCTTTTACGAAATGAAGACTTATTAAAACCTTTTACAGGATGAAGACTTATAAAAACCTTTTACGAAATGAAGACTTATTAAAACCTTTTACGGGATGGAGACTTATAAAAACCTTTTACCATATGAAGGTTTTCTTTCAACTCCTTCGCAGCCCAACGCCAACTTTTTAGTGCATGTCTGGCAGTAAAGAGGTTAAAATTCTTTTTCAAATAAAGGGTTATGAAAACCTTTTAGAAGATGAAGGCTTCAAAAAAAATATTTTTTAAGATGAAGGGTTTTAAACTTGCACCTGTGTTAAACCTTTTGCAAGATGAAAACTATACAAAAATTCTCTTATCAGTCTGTCATGTTTTATATAAATAGTAGAGGTCATCATGGTTCGGCAAAGAATTCAAAGTTATGACAAAAAATAATGTGAATGAAGACGTTTAAAGTGATAAGATTTTCTGGATTCATGACTGGTTTACAATATTTGAAATTAGGCTACTGTGTAAATGTCGTGGTTTCATACGAGACAGGCCAATTGTTCCTTTTATCTTTTTTTATATGACCTTTTCTTTGATTGATAACTTCCCTTGATGATTTCCCTCTTTCTTTTTTTAAGAAGTTTATTCTTACCCATTACCCTTTTTAAGCCTGTGTAGTTTTGCTCTTTTTTGGAACACCCTCTAGTGTTCTGCACAGCTGCCGGTCCTGTGCTTTTACACATCTTGGAAAATCTCCCATTCATTCTTCTGATTTGTTTGACTCCCCTACACCAATGATTGCCTGTGATGTTTTTTACACTACAATACCAGAAATGTCATCTTTCTGATGTTGTAGTTGTTGTTTAGTCTTTCTGATGTTGTTGTTGTTGTTTAGTCTTTCTGATGTTGTTGTTGTTTACTTGTCACGTGTTTGTTTGTGGTATGACCAACTTATAAATTGGGTGTAGGCCAAATAGTTCGACTCTTCCCTGTGCATGTAGGAGGCTTGGGTTTCATTCCCTGATGGGGAGTATCTAGCATCTCCATCTTTTGGCTGGCATTCTGAATCCCACTTTGCCTGGGTTGGCCGGAGCTAGCAGGATTAAAGCAGCCTGCATTCTAAATCCCCTAAATTGTATCGATGGGGAGGTAAAATTTGTACAATGGACTAATCTGAGTGACACTGTTTCCATTCTTGCCTTCTTTTGTGTCGCAAATGCCGTAAAACTCGTACTAAAAGAAACACTAAACAATAGGCCCACTTCCTTTCCTCTCATTTTGAAAACTCCAGCTGTCTCAAGTGTCTCAGTCATGATAGATTTCTTGAGATCTCAGAGATAAAAATGATCATCCACTTCATTTTCCGATCAGTGGTTGTAAGTAACACTTGAGGCACATGTCATGCCCAGTGTTTTGCAGTACCCCGTAGGTCAAGAGAAGCAATAATGTACTTGTCTGTGTCCCTCTGTTCCCATAACCTCGTTAGATAAGAAATGATAACGCGCATGCTCATTGAGATAACGCGCATGCTCGTAAAGAAGGATTTGGTGATATTGTGTTTGTTCTGTCAGATCCATGATTTTGCAGGGAAAGATAACTATGATATACCCTTCCTTTATTCATACTTACTATGAAATATCATTTTGTAACAGTTTGCAACAGCCTTAAAAATAAAGGACTTCATACAAAGCTTTCTTCCACATGCTTTGACATAAAAATTAAAATTGTAAAAATGAAAGTAAAAAGATGCCCTACCCCCGACATTCGGGCATTAACCATTATGATTTTGTTTGTTCCTTGTTTTACTCCTAATACCAAAAGAAAGCCATTTGTGCTTCAAGTGTGTTGAATGAGTTCAGTATTTTGCTTTCTCCTTTTAGTCCCTTGTGTGACAGTGTCAGTAATACTGTAAAACCTGTACTCAAACTAACAAGTAATACTGTGAAACCTCTACTCATACAAACAAGTAATACTGTAAAACCTGTACTCAAACTGACAAGTAATACTGTAAAACCTCTACTTGAACAAACAAGTAATACTGTAAAACCTCTACTCAAACTAACAAGTAACACCGTCATGCCACCAGTGTCTGTGCTGCGGCTGTTGAGAGCTTCGCTTTTGCATGCAGGAGACCCGAGTTTGATTCCCGATTGGGGACGAGTTTTTATCAAGTAGCCCAGTCTTCCCTCAGGGATGTTGTATCCTGCTCACCCCATTGCGAGCCTAGTGCTTTCTTGTCGTTACTCCATTTTTTTTTAACAGTGAAAATGTGACTTCTTCCTAAGCTCCCTCTTTGTTATGAACTGTTTTCACTGTTATTAAAAATGGAGATACGACGAGAAAGCACTGAGGTCGCCATGTTGACCTTGACAGGCAGGGGATCGGAAACCCATCTCCTAAATGCTCTAAATTGTGGGGTGCTTTTTTTTTGGGGGGGGGGGGGGGG